TAAAATTGTTAATTCCCAAACAAATGGGATTTAATAGATGCATTTTTAAATCTAAAGACAGTATATTATTACATATTATTTTGTAGACACATAAAATAAAAAATAAAAGCTACATAATATGACACCCCTCTATCAGGCATTTCGGTGTTGGTAGGTCTATGTGCAGCTGTGGACTTTTATAGACTGCAATGGATGGATGGATAATATGACATGAAAGTAAGAAAAAGTGTGATATGAGAACTGTTTTACCTTGATATGGAATATCAAAAGGTTACAAGTTAAATACACTTAAAATATAAGTAAGCAAAAAGTGAGTAAAAAATAAGCATTTAGGCTGTTTAGAAAAATCTGAAAGATTGAACCAAACCTATTATTCAAATTATATCCCTTGTGATATATTTGGCTCCACACGTTGCGAATGAAACCAGATTTGACAGATATGCAAAACAAAAATAGTATTGTAAGCATCAGATTGAATTACAATAAATTTGTTAAATTATTAAAAGAATAATAAAAAGACAACAGATAGCCTGTAAAATGTTTCATGACTTAGATTATTTCCAATTTTAAAAAAATTAACAAAATATAATTAAAAAACTCAGTAAAGAATGTAAACAATAAATTATTATTATTCAGATAGTAAAACGAATATAATATAATAATTATTATATAACAATTAATATAATAAGACGAGAAAATAATATAGAGAAATTTCTGCTGACAGGCAATTAAATAAAAATAAAAATCTAGACCATGATTAATTAATTGAAATTAAACATAGGCACATTATTGCATTCGAGCTGTATTATGTAATTTAATATAACCTAAGTTACATGGAAGAAAGAAGGTTTAGCATCATTAGGTTTTAAATAGAATGATGAGTTGCAAATGCATTAATGGCCTACAGGCCTACAGGCCTACGGCGGTACATAAAATATCAATCTGGGAAAATGTAAAACTTACATACTTCACTAATTAAAACAGTGGTAAATTAAACAATTAAAAATGAATTTAAAAATAATTATAGGAAATAATTGTCTATTGTAAGATATTAAAAAGTTATGACAAGTTAAAAATAAGTAATATGTGAAGTAATGATTAAAAAATAAAATAAAGATGGAGTTATTCAGTAAAATTAAGTATGGTATCATTCATACCTATCATGTTATTATTATCACCTTCATAACTAAAACTAGGTATGGTAAAAGCACAATAGAGTTATGCTGACATATGCATACACTGGTTGCCAAAATATGTTAGCAAAAAAAATTGTTGTAGTAAGAGGTAATTATATAATAAAAATTTTATGATATAAATAGTGACTAGATATATTGTGCATAACCCATTTTGGTTGCTATTAGTAAAATGAGGTTAATAATGTTGTGCTTAAAACCTTATTATATATAATAATGTATATATAATGTTATGTAATATATATTCAGTGGCAAATTTCTGACCTTACATGGTAGTTAATAATATTAGAAAAAAAAACATTAAACGCATAAAACCGTTTGAAATATAAATTGACACTTCTCAATTGGATGGAAAGAAACCAATGGAATGAGAAAAATTTGGGTTTAGTCCTTCATTGAGAGTAAATTACATAGATATTATTCTATATTAAAGTAGTATATGCTTATATTTTTGGGAATTGTAGAATACAATACAAAACTTTGAGCAAAACAATATAAAATACGTAACAAAAAGTATAACGAATAGTAAACTTACTACAACTAAATAATACTTATGTTGTACAATTTTACTCAGAGTTGATAAAAATCCTGCTTCATATATTAACAAGATAGAGAGGGTTCTCTTTATTAACTATTGAGGATTCAATACTTTAAATTAAATAAAAATATGGAAATTTAACATACAACCTAAAATTGAGCCAAGTAAACAAAAAACAATCAGAGGAAGTCTTTCAAGTCTATTCAACAAGATCATAAAGCAGTGTCAAAGCTAAAACTTGGTCAAATTAGTAACGAGAAATAATAAAATTATTATATACTTAACAATGGGGTTCTGTAGGCCTGACCCTAAAACCATGGCAGTTATATTAGATTGGAGGACGATTCTTCTTTTATGTATTTCCTCTTAATGTCGATGAGTCAAAAAACCATAGGTTTTTGTTTTTTTTTTCACATGAGAAAATATTTTGCGGTACTGAGATTTAGAAGCAATCAAATAAAGATAATTAATGGTATAGTTTTTATTACAAAGGGCTCAATATTATGAGTATAACACAATGAAAAACTTGTTACAAATTATAGATGTAAAAGTACTAGAAAGTTTCACAAGGGTTTGGCAAAAGAAGTCCAAAAATTTTCAACGTAAGAGAACCCCCACATGATCACCGGGCATCAAGATAGCAAAATATACCAACATACCAATGATTTGAAAGTTGGACAAGACTATTCCCACTTTGACATGCGCGTAGTTTCGGACAGTATTGAAGAAATAGGAAAAGTATAATACTGAGGAGATAGGGATGCAAAAGCACTATTGAATTAAAACTGCTGGGAAAAGTATCTAACAGGAGTTATATAGATGCTATATACAGACCATTAGAACTGTCACTTAGAATATATACATGGATTTATGTATATATAATAAAATAAGAACGAAAAATACTACTGGTAGATATTAAGCGGTGCAGAGAGGCAGAAGTATTTACTGTAAACTTAAATTTGTTGAGAGAATATCTAGCATAAGTTATCTAAAATGCTATGCATTAGCGCTGTCATTTATGAGGATAGATATGGTTAACTATTCAGACCTTACCGCTATGACTTAGAAGGAAGACAGGTCTTAATTCACATATAAGATGCTATCATTAGTGGAAAGATATTAAGATGGGCTAGGACCCAGAAGACATCACTGCAGGTTTTAAACCGTTAGAGCTATCACATAGAGGATAGACACGGTTGACTATTCAAACCTTAGAGCTAACACTTTGAGGTTAGACATGTTTGAATTGAAAGCAATATCACTTGAAGGAAGACATTAAGATGGACTACGGCTCGGAAGAAATCATTGCGGGCTTTAAACTGTTAGAGCTATCACTTTGAGGTTAGACAGATTTGAATTGAAAGCATTATCACTTGAAGGAAGACATTAAGATGGACTATGACTCAGAAAAAATCACTGCAGGCTTTAAACCGTTACAGCTATCACATAGAGGATAGACACGGTTAACTATTCAGACCCTTTAGAGCTAACACTTTGAGGTTAGACAGGTTTTAAATCAACATTAAAGCGCTGTCACTATAAACTATAAAGTAGTTTTTTTTCACATGAGCAGTAAATGTGAAAAAATGAATTATTTATTTTGAATAAAATAACAAATTAACACTGCCTATATAAAGATAATCATACTACTGTGTCATGTTACAGTCATCTCATAGACATCTCATACACATCATAGGTTACTATTAGTGAAGTATTTTGTAAAATATGGCACTCCAAGATTCACTCCAAAATTCATACTAAGAATTATAGTGAACTCTCCTTATGTCAAATACTATAAATTATAAAATAATAAAATAATTAATTCTTTATCGTACCAAATTGTAGTAAGTGTAATGAAATTCCTTCCTGGGCTTTTGTGCCTTTTACTTAGGTTTGAGTTATAAAAATAGAAAAGTACTTTAGATTACTATCGTATTGCAATAAATATTGAGAATACAGAAATTTACAAAAACTAGTAACAAGCTGAGCAGTGATGAGTTATAGGTTATAATATACATACATTGTCCTTCAACAAATATTACATATATTCAAACGGGAGCTCAGATGTATAGTTAAGATATAGATAGAATTTCACTTCAACGGGGTTTGCATGGGAAAAAATAAATGAGAAGGAGTTGAGCCTTTCTTGTGAATATTTTAATAGAAAACAGAACACAAGATAGTGATAATTTAACCCACTTAGAATAGTATTTCTTAAGTAAGTTAGTAAGTTATAAGTTATAATGTTAAAATTAAACTGGAGTAGATATTCCAGATTGTTTTCTTTTTCAGTCATAATTCTTCCACAGGGCCACTTCTGCTGCAATCAAGCTGGCCTTATGTGTATAAGGAAATGTTATGAAATAACGATAATTTATTTATGTTATTAATTTAAATTTATTATACAGGCAATGTTATTACATCTAATTACCATCTCTACGCGGATGACTTACAGCTTTATCGTCATTTTCCGATGGGTGATACAAATAATGCAATTGCAGCCATGAATGCAGATCTGAGCCGCATCTGTGAATGGTCTACATCCTTCGGACTATTAGTTAATCCCACGAAATCTCAGGCCATCATAATAGGCAGTAGGCATTTGCGTAATAGATTAGAATTTACATCACTACCTTTTGTTTTTTTTAATGGCGTTCCTATACCCTTTGCCAATACTGTCAAAAACTTAGGCGTCATATTTGATCACCATTTAACATGGACCACGCATATCGCTGAGTTAGTCACAAGGTCTACTTTACTTTGCATTCGCTTAAATGTCTACAAAATTTCTTACCCCTTAAAGCTAAAATATCACTCGTGCTTACCCTTATCCTACCTCTGCTTGATTATGCGGATGCCTGTTATTTGGATGCTACAGAGGAGCTTCGTAATAAACTTGAGCGCTTGCAAAATCAGTGTATCCGTTTTATATTTGGGCTCAAGAAATTTGACCGTATATCTCAGTTTCGTAAGAAACTCAAGTGGCTCCCAATTCGACTTCGAAGGAACACTCGATTGTTATGTTTCCTCTATAACATTTTGCACAACCCTTCCTCTCCCACATACCTCAGAAGCCGATTTTCCTTCACCCATCCCCCGGACAAACCATGCAGATCCCTTGTTAAAACTCTTCTTGACTTTCCCGTCTATAATTCCGGTTTTTACTTCCACTCCTTTTCAGTTCACGCGGTAAGATTATGGAACTCACTACCGTCAAATATAAGAAATTCCGAAACTTTGTTGGTATTCAAGAAACCTCTTAGAGATAACTACTTTGCATTCTGTTAATTTATATATATTATTATATTATATTAGTTTTAGTCATATAACAGTATTAGTTTATAGTCATAAATATATTATTATATGGAAAAGTTATTATATTATATTAAACCGTTATGCTTTGAGCCCGGAGCGGTCCGTCACGGAGTCCCAGTCGCCTCAGATGACCAGAGAGGCTAACTGGGATTAGCCCATTCGCAGAGACGACTACAGGAATAATTTCGGTCGGCATACCACCCCACATGTCGGTCATCTCGTGAGCCAGGTCCAGATACTTTGATTGCTTATCTGTTTCGGCTTTCACGAGGTTCTCGTCATACGGGATGGTAATATCGACCAAAAATATCCTTAACTGTGCCCGGTACATCAGCACAATATCAGGCATATTCGCAAGAATAGTCCTGTCTGTGATGATGGCCCGGTCCCAGTAGAGCCTGGCGCGGTCATTTTCGAGCACGGCTTCCGGCAAGTCCTTGTAATACGGCAATTTCCGGTCCACGAGACCGTATTTCAGAGCGAGCTCCTGGTGTGGAATTCTGGCTACTAGGTTGTGCCTGTGCAAGTACTCAGAGTTAGAAAGCGCCGAACAACCGGAGATGACATGCCTAAGTGACTCCCCGGGATGGCGACAAGCTCGACAGACGTCGACGGTGCCATCCTTTAGGATGTATCTCCGATAGTTGTTGGTCTTAATAACCTGATCCTGTATTGCACAGACAAAACCCTCGGTTTCCCCGAAGAGGTCACCGAAACGTAGCCAGTTGAGGGAGGCGACTGTATCTACGAAGAGCTCATGTAGAGCCCTGTAGTACCTCCCGTGGAGCTCTTTCTCCTTCCATACGGTCTCCCGGTCGGAAATGCTAAGCACTGCTGGGTCCTGCCATTGCTCGTTGGCTAAGGATAGAGGGGTAAGTCCTTTATCACTAGAAATGACGTCATTATAGAATGGATCATCCGATCTCGCCAGGAAGTAATGACGGAGGCTGCACACTTCACCATGCTTTCGCGGCAAGTACAGCCTCATTACCGACGATCTCGGATGATGCATCCTATGGGACGTCATGGTAGTGCGGACTTTTCTATCCAGGGCGTTAAGTTCAGTCTGACTCCACCTGAGTACGCTAAAGGTAATACATAAGGACAGGTATGACCCAACCGTTATATGCGTGTGTCTTATTCACACCGGACAAAAGGCTATTAAGCGCTTTGGTCAAGCGTGCATAAAACACGTCGCAAACTGACTGTTTCATACCAGTCTCATCGATACCGATGTTTTGTGACATACCCAGGTATCGGTATGTTTCAGCCTCGGAAAGGGTGCTTAAGTTGACGGGCATAGATAAGTCTACGCCCTCAGAGTTAGCAACTCTTCCCCTTTCAACGTGAAGGACCGCACACTTATCCGTCCCAAGCTCCATTCCAATGGAATTGCTAAATTCACAAGTGATGTTTAGCAATTCCATAAGATGGGAGCGACTGGAGGCGAATAACTTGAGGTCATCCATATAGAAAAGGTGGGTCACTTTTGTCCCTCCTTTCCGTAGCTGAAATCCCCACCCGGAGCTCTCCAGTAAGGTACTGAGAGGGTTCCCTCTCAGGTTCAGAGAGAGGCAGAACCAGATTGGACTCAGACAATCGCCCTGGAAGATACCCCTTCTTATCCTTATGTGGTTCTCCGCAGCCATCATCCGCTCACCCAGATGACAAAGGATCGTACTCCACTGCCCCATACACTGCTCGAGGAAGTCTCTAACTGTACAGTCTATCTTGTACAGCTCGAGGACTCTCTTTAGCCATGTATGGGGCACCGAGTCGAATGCCTTTCTGTAGTCTATCCAGGCGGCGGAGAAGTTCCGACGGTTGCGTTTCACCACTTTGCCAATGACCGCGTCAATGAGGAGTGGTTCCTTGGTTCCACGACCACCGCCCCGACATCCATTTTGAGCGCGCGACATCACCTGATTTGAGTCCAGGTGACAAGTGATTCTCGCGCTCAAAATGGATGTTAGTGTCTTGTATATGGTCGGTAGACACGTGATGGGGCGGTATTTGCTCGGGTCTGTGGTACCCTGGTCTTTAGGAACCAAATGAGTGATCCCAGTAGTGAAGAGGCTTGGGAGCGACTTCCGGTTGAGAGCCTCTTGAAACTGTCGGGCGAGCACAGAGTGACACACCATGAACCCCTTCAGCCAGTAGTGATGCAGCCCGTCAAGCCCCGGACTTTTCCAGTTCGGGGCCCTACGGACCGCCTCAGCTACGTCATCCGGCGTTATGATGACGGGGTCCATGGGCGTAATATCCGCACACTGACTCGCCACAACTTCCGTCCAAGGGCCCTCGCTGTGGTTTACGGGCTCTGACCACAGGCCGCGCCAGAATGCTACAGTGTCGGCCTGATTCGGTGCTGGACCCGTTCCACTTACCATTGGTCGCTCCAATGATTCATAGAGCCTTTTCTGATCACTCTGGAAGAGACGAATCTGGTTGAACCGTGTCGACCTCTCGGTATATCGCCGAATCCGCTTTCCCCAAGCAGCGATTCTCTGCTTCAGATCATCTATGCGCTCCGTCAGTTTTTGCGTTATATCCGGCTGGGACAAACTGACATTTGTCCCAGCAAACGCCATCCTGACGGTGCGCACAATTCTTGGCCTGTTGTTGCCTGATCTGAAGCATATCAGTCTGCCGATGAGAGCTCTAGCCTTTGCGATACGTTCCTCAATTCTTCTTCTCCATGCTGGGATAGCGCTACTATGGCCAGTAACGCGTCCAGCCGTGGAAACCTTGGCGCCTATGATACGGCAGACTGCCAGCGCAGCGCCAAAAAGAATTGAGTCCGTCTCGCAAAGGTCCCGGCTGGCTTCCAAATAGGTCACCAGCATTGGGTTCAGAGCCCTCACGACAGCCCGATTCCGCTTGCTTAGGGCTATGCGGGGAAGTCGCGGTCGATTTTCGAGAGGCGTACTGCGCGTTTCCACAATCGCCTCTTCCAATGTACTCCTCATATGCTCTAATTCCAGTTCTTATTATTATTGTTTTATTTTATATAACTTACGTAACATTGTGTATATTATTTATTTTTTAGGAGTACTAATGTATGCACTAAGTTTGCAATTTCAATATAATTTCCTTTCCATTTATGGATCTACTGGAAGATATTTCAGCTAATTTGAAATAAGTAGAACCTTTGTACGAAATTACTATAAGACTGCTTCTGTATCTTAATGTGTGTACATAAAAAAAAATATGTTCAACATTTTTCATAAAATAAGGAAAATTGCAAAATTCTATTCATTGGTATTATAAATTCGCAACCCTGTCTTCAAACATCTACAATTGTTAAGAATGTCTAGGACAAAGAGGGAGTATAATTAAATGGTTAAACAAACTTACCTTAAGTGAAGTTCCATTAATTATCCATTTAATTATCGTCAGGTGGATCGTATGGTCGCTCGTCTCCTTTATTTCTATGAAATAAAATTGTTTAGCGATCTTAGTAAAAGTGTTAAATGAAATAAACTGGATTGCGCTCCTCCATCCAACTTAGATAATTGAATTTACTTTGTTACAATGAAATAAGACACGGCTAAAGATTAACTTATGGTTACTACGGCACGGCTGAGGATTACGACGCTTATTACGGCAAACTTTTTTAAACAATTTTAATCCGTGATGTATAAAAATGTACTTCAATTTTATTAAAAAATTTAATTAAAATCCCATGATTGGATGAAGCAAACGAAAGGTTCCTTATTGAAACTGTAAAAGAAAATAATAACTGTCCGTCGCGTCCGTATACGGCTTAGAGATATCTAGTTAGACCGTTAAGCCAGTCCCTAAAAGGTGGGGTTTAGTGGGTAAAAGTCTCCACATAACCACACAGCCGGCTGCGTGGTATGCTATGAGCATACCACGCCTCCCTCCCCCGCTTTCCGGAGGATTGGCCATATTTGCTTCGGGCGCAAAAAAAAAAACAATAATAATCATAGACAATTATAAAAGACAATCAAATATCATAACGTGTTTTGTATTGATATCTGTTTTCATCATGCAGTCTGAATATTTGTTCTGACGTAAACTTGATGGTGATATTTCGGAAGACATGGTCTTTCTGACCTTTGCCATATTCGCCTCTTACAACACCCATGGAATGAATTAGGGTAATATATGCTATTTACAAGGGTAAAAAATTGACACGTGCATTTATCTGTACGCATATACAAGTCATCATCATCATCATCATCATCATTACAGCCCTTCACAAGTCCACTGCTGAACATACGCCTTCCCCAAGGAATGCCACAAAGCAAAGTCCTGAGCCACCTGCATGTCTTACCAGATCATCACTCCACCTACGGGGGAAGCGCCCTAAACTTCGTTTACGGGTACGAGGCTGCCACTCAAGAACCTTGCTTCCCTATCGGTTGTCGGTTCTTCGAACTATATGGTCGGGCCATTCAAAAATGCGCACCGACGCGTACTGTCAGAAAAAAAATTATGTCGACGTCGCGGTGACGTAGGATAACAAAATTTCGTTTGTCTAACGCCACTTTCCGCAACCTATTATGTATAGTGTAGAATAAGACTGATAAACGAACACGTAGTCCACCGGATGATAAGTGGATGCTGTGGTTGGATATCAACACTATGGTAAGTGCTGGCATCCAATAGAAAGCTTCTCACCGTCCGTCGAGACACGTCTACATCTCCAGCCCAAAATACATATTCTACATTTATCCACAATTAAGGATCAAAGTGTAGATGCGTTGTCTCCGTTGGGGCCTAAGATGGAATGCCATCTTTCCAGTAAAAAGGGTCTCCGATTCTCTAACCCTCTCACTCAGTATACGAAACACAAACAAACAATACGCATTGGGCTGCTATTTCACATCGGTACTCGTATTCTGTGAGAGTGTGGTCCTTTCCCGATAGTCGTCCCGATTTTACTACAATTATTTATATAGCTGCTGGATGGCTCTACCATGTGTATTTCTATAGCCTACCACCATTTTATTTATATATTTATAGCATTTATACTTGCGATCGTCGTCACTTGGTGAAACTTTCATCTATATTTTTGTAACCCTAACCTCACTTCAGGGGAGGCGAAGCCGGTCGAATTCTTATATTCAATAAATTAATAATTTAAAATAAATATTCTCAAACAAGTATAATTCAACTAAATCACAAAAATATTTTGTGAACTGTATTGTGTGTGTTACCTGCGATGAAAAATGGATTCTGTTAGACAATCGTAAGCGCCCAGCAAGTTGGTTGGACCCTGGTTCAGCATCTAAACCATGCCCTATACGAAAACTTATCCCTAAAACAAAGATAAAGATGAGTCATCATTGCTTCTTACCACGGGATAAGTATTACTGTAGATGTGTACTGTGAAGAACTGAGCACAATGATAGCGAAACTAGCACGTCTCCAACCAGCTTTGTTCAATCGCTCGTCCCCACTGCTCCTGCACGACAACGTGCGACCTCATATTGCACAATAGACTGTCTCCAAGTTACAGGAGCTGTGTTTACAAGCCCTCCGTCATCCGCCGTACTCACTTGCGCTTACAGCCATCTTTTCCAGAATTTGGATAACTGTTTCGGCGGGAAAAAATTAAATACCTGAGAGACAGTACAAAATGCCTTTGAAAAATTTGTTGCCTCCCGTCCAGCTGATTTCTTCAAGAAGGGCATCAATAAACTGCCACTGTGTTGGCAAAGATGCATAGATTGCGTGGGTGATTACTTTTATTAACAGAAAGAAAAACATAGAAAAAAAAATTACGTTAACTTATTTTTTAGGTAAATTCATAGGTAAAGAAATAATAGTTCGATCCTCAATCTATTTATCAAGAGCGTAGGAATTAAGATAAATTATTAATCTGATTAAAGCTGAAGCTGAATCTCAGACAAAATACTTTTTATTTTGTCTGAGGTTATAAGCTGGTGGTATCTATTATAGATAGAAAGATACATTTGTTTGGCACATACAGAGAAAAACACGCAGATTTATATAAAGAAATAAAATACAAAGTATTATTAAATAGCAACACATAAAAATAGCAATCAACAATATAGCAAAACAGCAATAAATTAAATAAGTAAAACTAATGGGATGATATCCTCCTTAGTGAAAAAAAGATAACGTTAAAAATTATATATTATTTAACATTTAAAAAAAGAGCATTTAGGACCACTTTCATCAATTCTGTTCTGTGCCTTAACTTATCGAGAGAAACAAGTTAAATGAACAAAACAAAAAGTAAAAAAGAAATATTGCAGTACTTATTTATATATAATAAATAATAGATGAAAAAGCTGAGGGTACATTTAGAGTAAGCAAATTTGACACTAATAACTTAGTTGTAACGTAACGTGACACTAATAAAGTAGTTGCTGGTTTATGAATACTAAAGGCTTATTATAGGAATTTGTAATTTAAAAAGTGCTTTAATATTATGAAGTATTCACTTCACACATGAAGTATTTTTACTTCGATACATCCGTTTACAAATTTATATGTGTAAACGGATGTATCGTCCATTGCAACGAAAGCTCGGATAATCCAATCAATCTCACAGAACGTCTAGGATTACAGCCGAGATGACAATAGCTAGCACTAACTTGTTTTAGAAGCAATTTGCTGTAAATCATATTAAGTTTTTTTTAAGAAATTGGTGCAAAATTTTAGAGTATTTGTAACTTGGTCTGTTATATAAAACTGAAATAACAAACAAATTTTCGGTCCACCTGTTGGTCAGTTGCTAATGCAATCCATGGACACCTGCAGCTTAATTGAAACGAAGAAGGCTGCAGCTGGTCACCTCTGAGGATTAGATAGAATGCCTCACAGCCTATTTATACTGGCTCTCTATATCATTCAACCTCGTTGGTCTAGTGTTTAAAGTAGTGCGATTGCTGATCATGAAATCCTGGTTTTGAATCCCGGGTCGGGCAAAAAAATCAGTTATTCAGTTTTTCCATTAAGAAATTTTCATTAGCTGCCCGGAGTCAGGAAGTTGCCAGTGTCTTACCCCTGCGCCTCGGGAAGCACGTAAAGGCGTTGGTCCTGCGCCTGATATCTCTCAGGTTGTGCGGTTTAACGTCCCATCGGACTATGAGAGTGAAGGAATAGAGAGTGCACTTGTGCTTGCGCATACACTTGGGCACTATAATCCTGTCCTGCGCCGATGGCTAGTCTCCGTTAAGGCTGGCCGCCGTGACCGAAATTCGGTGTAGAGGACATTATTATATCCTCCAGACCGAAACACAGCATGCTTAAGCTGCTATTTTATATACATATGTATATATGGCGGTATTGTCCTTCTCCGGGCGAGAATAGAAACAATAAAAATAATTAGAAACATAAAATAGCTGCAGCATAGCTCCATTACGTAGAAGATATGTGTGAATAATACGGTATGAAAGTCTCCAGTGCATTTCAACTGAGGCCGGCGTTGCTCCCTACAATCGATTTAGCCGGCAGTCCATTTTGCTTTATTAATCCCTAATGCACAATGTTGGAGCCCGACGGAATTTAATTTGCTCGCTTCCTACGCTAATAGCGACTGGATGGAAAATTATTTATAATAAATTAGTATTAAATTTTGATGTTAATGATGTCATGGAATTTCTAAGTCTTTGTGGGCTAAGTTTTAGAACCAGTAACAGATTTTAACGCGACCCATGCAGATTGAGATCTAAGATGGAATGCTACGTATAAAGTTGAGTTGTCATTGTGACAAAATTATAGATTAAAATTTTTGAAAGCACAAGAGAGCATAAAGAAACAGCTTGTGAAGTCGGGTCTTTACTTATTCTATACACTACGCTTTGGCACCTACTTCTGAGTCTTATTGAGTCGTTTATAAGAGTTAAATTTCCTTAAAGTCGGGTTTTACTTTATAATTAAAGTTTAATTTTTATACTTTTCTACTAACGTTAACTATTATAGAAAGTCAACTTGACTAACGTCGCAGAACTTCTTAAATATATTAAGTTATAGTGGCACCAGCAAAATATGAATTAATACAGTCTAAATTCTCTTCGGGGTTGACAGATACAAATGAACACAAAACTTTGAATGCTGTAGGTATAAACTTAACTATGACAAGTGACAACTGCAATACGTAAGTGACTCAAACTTTTAACAAGGATGTTTCACTGATATTATTTCGCATTTTGAAACTTAACTTTGACTTTAAATGTTTCTAACGAAATGTTTGACAATTGAATGAAAATCTTGAATCTCAGCCAGCGCTTGTCGATGAAGTTTATTGAGGAGAAATTTTAAAAAGTTTTTTTTAGTTGTTACTACAATAATGAACTGTGGAGATTAGCGTTCACTTTAATTTTTATATATCACACTATAAACTAAATTATTAATTGTAATTAAAGGAGCTGATCGTGCACGTATTTCGGTGAAGGAAAAAACGTCGTGAGAAACCTTGCCTATGAATTAAATTGTTTCCGTGTAGCGCGGCATCTCTTTCTTTACTCTTCGAAAATCCCTCACAGAAATGAGAGGAACCCTGAGCCAAGCAATGAGCAATGACGCATTCATTAAACGCGATTTACTATATTTACGCGACTATTACCCATTAAATGTTTTTTCTCATTTTTGTTTGCTAGTGACGGTTCCGCTGAAAACTGAGATAAGATAGTAGACGCTTATGTAATTTAAATAATAAGTTATTTAAATATGAACATTTAAATAACTGTTGAAACCAACATTTTCTATATCCAAAGTTTGTAAGAGATGATACTAGCATAAGACGTCATAGCTTCTTGCAGTTAAATATGAACAAACCAAAAATGTATATTTTTAACAATAAAATTTTCATTTTTTACCGTGTAGTGGCGACGGAAATTGGAATCCGTTACGTAAATTTGAATTTTGTGATATTCCCAAAAAATTTTTATGGGTTCCGATAGATGGCGGTATAAGCATTTCGTTAACACCATGAATAAAATACCTATATTTGACCGAAGCCGGCGTTCGAAAGCAGCTTCAGAAGTTTTTTTTATAGGATAAGGGTGACAAACTTGTGGTGGGTGGTCTTTTAAATTACGCGTTTCCGGAATCGTAGAATATGGTTTCCCTCATTCATTTTTCCATCCATGCAAACTCATAACATATTGTCAGAAGTTGAAATACATGAACCCTATTCTCCCGTTGGTTTTGTAAGTCGAGCAGTGCAGCCGAATGTTCAGTGCAGTGCTATAGTACACAGTCTACCTGATGATACTGTGGCCCATATTATTATTATTATCTGTCTTTGATTAAGAATCAAAATGCAGATGCGTTATCACCCCCGAGGACTAAGAAGGTGCCCAAGGTCTGGTGCTTCGATCCTCAATTCTCCTGCTAGGGGTGACGATTAAGGCAAATTCTCCCTATAATGGGAGAGAAGAATTTGACTTGAAACGGAAAACCGACAGATTGGTATTACAAATAAACAAATCTTCTACTACTGACATTTTATATTTTGCTCCAAAACTTCAAAACCACTCCCCTTAATTTCATATTCCCCTCCCCTTCTACTCCATTTAACAATGTCAGCGTACGAGATACGGCAGATTCCATTGTGTGGCCTGTATAATGATCCATTAAGTGTTCGCTCGCTTCGTTTCATTTAAATTAAAGTTTACTTTACGGCGGTAATTAAAACCAAATTGTTTTCACGATTTTTATTTATTTATTAATTATATCCACTTACTACTAATATTACATGATGCCCTACATCGATTGATAATACATCATAAGTCTATGAATTAAAATATAAAAATAACAATGTAGCCTTTGTGAATTCGTTCACAGAACATCCGAATAAATCAATCCTCTAAGCTACCGCATTGAGCGTACGGAGCGCTCGGGTAAGCGGTGCCTCGTGTAATAAGATGGTTCTCGTGCGTGGCAGTTCCAGCAGTTCCATTCGTCGCCCACGCTCGGTACTTCAATCTTCATCTTCTGTTAACTACACCCCGTAACACCCTACACAAGTATGTGGCCAGCGATACTTCCCTTCTTACATCCAGTTTACTGTATCCTACCATACCTAAGACAAACAAAGTAGGATACAGTAACGGATAACCAAGATACACCCCATATAATTTGAAATATAAAAATCTAGCAAAACTTGTTTTGAACAGTTTCCAAAATGTTGACTTATACTTATCTTCATTTGGAGCCCAAATCACCGAGTTGCACTCCAAATGACTTTTTACCATCGCTTCGTACAAGGCCTTCATTGCGTTAATGTTAGTGAACCCGTTCGATTGTCTCAGTACAAAAACGAGATTGCGGTATACCCTTCTGCAAACTTCAGTAATATGTTTTTGAAACTTTAAATCACTTGTGAAGTGAACAACCAGATCATTCACTTTCATGACGCGCTGCAGCTGCTCTTCCTGCATGTAGTACGGGTGATCGCGCGGAACTCGCGCTCGTCTATATGACAATGTAGAGTATTTGCCCTCATTATAATAAAGTGTATTGTCCCCGCTCCACCATGACCTCATTTATATCCTTAAGTCTAGCATGGTCTAAAGTGTCTCTTAGTTTGATAACTAATTTTAGATTGATAGAATCAGGCGTTACTTTGCGGAAATCCATTATAATAAAAAATAAAAATATAAATTTCTTTGCAACTTTCCGCTAAACATATAAAATGGTGTGTCTTACCTGGATTGAAGCGCACCTCCCGCCCTCCCTCGATTGCATACACTAACTCCGTCACCACTAGACCAAGCACCACTACTCTCAACACCACTATTCCAGGCAAGACACACCATCGACGATAATACGACACGTGTTTCGCCTCTACACGAGGCATCCTCAGGTAATATAGACTCTACGGCGGCTGACCGCTAAGTGAGCGGCGAGTCGAAACAGTTGCTATTTATACACGCTGACACAATCGCTCCCTACCAAAGTAGCGAGTGACCGCGTCGTGCGATAACAAACCTGCCAACAGTTATTATTATTGTTATGATTATTTTTAAATACTATTATTATTATTGTTTTGAGTGACCGCGCCGAGCGATAACAAATCTGCTACTAATTATTATTATTGTTATGATTAATATTTTAAATACTATTATTATTATTGTTTTATTGATATTATTATAATTATTTATTATTATTAATCTTAAAATTATTATTAAAGATTGGCCTTAAAGATGTTTAACAAAGGTGAATTAGAAACATTTGTTTGTTCATTCAGCAGTGTATAATTACCATTATTACTTTTTAAAATCTCCAACTGCTCCAGCACACACAGTCGCAGCCCCTTATTACAGGTATGTAAGACTTCAAAGGAATGGTCGCTAGCTAGGTTGTGTCCAGTGTCCAAGAGATGTTTAGCAAAATGGGATTTATCAGGATTGCAATTTCTGTACGCGGCCATATGTTCTTTATAGCGCGTCCCGAAATTGCGACCAGTCTGACCCACGTAAACGGCGTGGCATTCGTCACAAACAAGTTTATAAACACCCGATTTTTGACTAATATTTAACTTATCTTTATTATTACAAATATTCCTAAGCGAATTGTTTGTTTTGAATGCCACGTTAACGCCGTTTTTCTTAAGACTATTAGCTATTTTTTCCGATATGGGGCCTAAGTAGGTCAAACTACCCACATACCGCCGGACACTTTGAGATCGAACCGCGTACAAAGAATTGCGAACAACATGCTTTTGTTTCTTTTTAATAAGATTATCAACGAGACTTTTTGAAAAACCGTTAGAGACCGCAATTTGATAAATTATATTAAGTTCTTTTAAATAATTTTCTTTATTTAATGGAACAGTGGACAGACGGTTAATGTAACAATAAAAAAGCGGCTAATTTATGTTGCCATGGATGACACGATGATGCGGGGATGACCGTGTCGGTATGAGTTGGCTTTCGATAAATTTGAAAAACATGTAACGACTCTTTTCTTGTTATTGTTAAATCAAGGAAATTAAGGGAGCCATCTTGTTCCAATTCAAGCTTAAATTTAATTTTTTCGTGGACTCTATTTATTTTATTAAGGAAAACATCCAGTTGTCTCCTTGTGCCTGTCCAGCAAATAATTATGTCGTCTACATATCGATAATAGTATAAGATATTTTGGTTAACAACTATATGTTGTTTTTCGAAATCATCCATGAAAATGTCCGCCATAAGTGGACTTAGAGGGGACCCCATAGCTAACCCTTCTTTTTGTAGATAGAAACGGTTATTAAACCGGAAATAATTTTGTTTCATACAGAGAGAGGTTAAATTAAGAAGATCATTTGTTTCCCCGGGATGCAGACGACGTTTTTTAAAGAGATCTGAGAGTATACGCAAACAGTCAGGGAATGGGACGTTTGTGAAAAGACTATCAACGTCTAAAGACAACAACATAGATTTAGGTGGAATACGAATATCTTTTATTTTGGAAATAAGTTCTAAACTATTTTTAAGGCTGTAAGTGGGGTTGAAACCAGATTTCTCCCGAAGGAGGAAGTTTAATTTTTTAGCAAGGAAATAAGCTGGTGCACCTATATATGAGACAACTGGACGAATAGGAACATGTTCTTTATGTAATTTAGGTAACCCATATAAAGTGGGTGCTTGAGGATTCATTGGAACAAGATTGCTCCGAGACAAGTTGTGATCGGGAAAAACATATGACGACTTTTGTATACATACTTTAATATCCGAAGTAAACTTTTTGGTTGGATCAGACTCTAACAGCTGAAAGTCGTCACCTTGGATAACATCGTTAACCTTCTGGCTATACCCGCTACTCTCCATAATGACAACAGTATTTCCCTTGTCGGCCTTAGTAACAATAAGGTTATTGTCTTTTATTCTATGTTTTAGTGACATAAAAATGGGGAACTCAGGATTGCAATGGGAAGATGCGGGTGCCTCCTGAATTTCTTTAGCTAACAAACTTTTAACGATGTTATCTTTCCTCCCGATCACAACAGCCACCTCCGCGTCAACGGCTACAGTCTCTAACGATCTTTGGGAGACCGAAGGTGTTAAATTATACTTTAGGCCTTTGTGTAAAAGGGACAACTCATCCGTTGGAAACTGGATACAGTTAGAGTCTGATCCAACCAAAAAGTTTACTTCGGATATTAAAGTA